AACACTTCAGATGTCCTGATGTGTCATGCCTTTCTAGCTACACTAAAAGGCCCAACACGAGAATTGTACACCCGTCTGAAGTTGCTCTCTATTATTTCCTTTGTTCAAGTCGCTAGGGAATTTGAACTTCACTTCCTCAAGAATATATGCCTAAAATCACTTGTAATACAATATACCTTCACGATGAGACTCAAACCCTCTTGTCTTTTAGGGTTATTGGTAGAGAGGCTACCATTGATATTACCCGAGGTACTCCAGCGACCAATTAATATATCGTTGCCAAGGAAATAATCTTGGATAAATATAAAGAGATACGTAAAAGGTCGAGACAGGATCAACTACAATCCTCGTCGACCTTAAGGTCACTATTACGAAGAAGTGACTGACCCAAGTTACCTTGCTCAAGGCCCCAATCAACCCTCCTGAATATGACCAAAATTGAAGTCTTTTTATAAATAAAAGAGAAGGGACTCTTAAAAGACCCTCAACCAACGAAGATTTCATTAGCAAAGAGAGATAGATTTAAGTATTATCGTTTCTATTGATATTACGGTCACGACACAGAAGATTGTCATGACTTGAAAGAATTGATTAAAGAACTTATTCATTGGAGACCACTCGGGTGATTCATCCGAAAGTATCAAGAACTTTCACCTTGACCTTAGGGATAGATGGAAAGACGAATTAATGTCATCATTAGTAGACTTGTCTCGGGAGGAGTTATTTACTCGGGTCATAAAGGTTACACTAGAGCTACCATTAGAAAGCGCTCACAGATAGGGGATGACTCAGAAATCATCTTCAAAGTGGAAGAGATGAAGAACCTTGACTCGAACCATGATGATGCCTTAGTAGTCTTCGTCAGGATGATCAATGCTCGAATGAAGAGGGTCATAATTGATACAAATAGCTCTGCTGATATCATCTATTATGACACTTTCTAAAAACTCAAGCTCTTAACTAACAACCTCACCTCTATAACTTCTTCACTTACAGGGTTCACTAACTACTTGATCTCCTCTCTCGAGGCTATAAACCTACATGTCATGTTTGGAGACGAGCCATACTCCAAAACAATAATCAAATTCATGATGGTTGATATCCCCTTGGCATATAATACAATCATAAGCCAACCCATGCTGAATAGGTTAAGAGCGGTGGTGTCGACCTACTATATAGTGATAAAGTTTACGATGAGAATTAGCATCAGAGAGTTGAGAAGCAACATAAGAGAATGACACCAATGTTACCTTATAGTAGTCTCCCTACCAAAGAAGGCATGATTCGAGGCACCGCTCTATGGATTCTCGAAGTTACTGATGAAATTACTGATCGAGACACCCTTAAACAAAGCCCATCCTCATTGAGTTGTTAAGGTCGAGGCAACACTTCCCAAGGCAAAAGGAGTGCAACTCATTAATTTCCTTAGGAGAATGTTGAGGTATTCATATGGTCACCAAGAAATATGTCGGAAATCGATCCAAACGTAGCCCAACATTACCTAAACATTTCTCTTGATGCACAATTAGTGAAATAAAAGCCTCATAAATTTGCCTATAACCATTAGCAGGCAATCCACTACGATGTAGACAAGCTATTAGCAATAGAATTTATTATCAAGATACAATAACTCCAATGACTTACTAATGTTGTACTCATTAAAAAAATATAATGAGAATTGGAGGATTTATGTTGATTATGTTTTCGAAGTCAACTAAGAAAATTTTCTTGGATTCATTGTACATCGAAGGAAAATATATATGAACCCTAAGAAAGTATGAGCCATACTAAAGATGCGCTCACCTCGATCGGTAAGGGAAGTCTAATAGTTAATAGGGCAAATTACAGTGCTCAACCGATTCCTATCCTAATCAGGTAATAAGTGTCTACCCTTCTTTTGGCATTAAAGAATTCAAAAGGCTTCCTATGGACCGAGGGGTGTTAGGAGGCTTTCAAAATGTTGAAGCATCACCTTCAATTGTTGTAACTCTCTTTCTCTACCATGGATAAAACTCTAAGTCTTTATGTCATTGCTATCGACTTAGCTATCACCTTAGTGTTGGTTCAGGATGGCTCAGGAGTTTAGAAGCCTATCTACTATATCAGTCATATTCTAAGTGGGTTCGAAGAATGATACCCCCATATCAAGAGGCTTGTATTTGCACTGATATTAATATTAATGAAGCTCCACCCCTATTTTCAAGTGCACGCTGTTTTGGTGATTACCAGCCAACTACTCAGAAAGGTCCTTTCTTGGTTCGATGTCTCAGGACAACTATTGAGATTATCAATAGAACTAGGTGAGTTCGATATTCGATATGTGCCGAGGACTGCCATCAAGGTTTAAGCATTGGTCGATTTAATCTCAAAGCTAACTCTCTCATTAGAGGTCCATAGTCACAACCCCTCAACATGGACACTATTCATGGATGGCTCTACCACCTTAGAAAAAGATGGTGTTGGACTCATCCTGAAGGGCCCAAACAAACATGTATATGAACGAGTCTTCCGATTTGAATTCAAGATCTCCAATAATGAAGTAGAATATGAAGCACTCCTCTTGAGGCTCCGACTCACACGGGAGCTTTAAGTCTATGACTTGATAGTTTTTAGTGAACACAATTAGTCATTGGCTAGGTTGAAAGGAGCTACGAGGCCCAAGATACAACCATGATAAAGTACCTCACCAACATGCAGAAATTAGCTCACATTATCTCTCGACTCAATATGGTATAAGTCCCATACAAAGGAAACACCTAGGCTAACGCGTTAGTGAGGCTATCATCTGCTCAGATTTCGAGGTAGGGCTGGCCATTGGTCAAGACATTATTGACCCAAACCATTGAGAAGCATGATATATCCATGGTTAGAGAGGAATTGAGCTGGATGGACGAGTTCTTGTACTATAAAAGCGATGGGACACTCTCAACTAACCCCGTAGTGGCATAATTAACAATTACCTAGATGATAGATCCTTTAGCTAATCACCTCTCATATACTTGACACCACAAGAGGCTGAGAGAGTGCTCGCCAAGATACATGAAGATATTTATGGGGAGCATATTGGTAGATGGACCATTACCTTTAAAGTGCTTTGACAAGGGGTCTACTAGTCAATATTGCGCAAAGATGTAATACCCTATGCCTAAAGATGCCACAGATATTAAAAGTTTACTTGGATATAACATCAACCCATAATCCCTCTAAGCTTGATCGATTGTGGATGACCCTTCGTCTAGTGGGGGATGGATCTCTTCAAACCCTTTTCACCAGCCTCGAGTAAAAAGAAGTTCCTCATCATGGGAGTATACTATTTCATTAAATGGGTAGAGGCTGACCACTAGTGTTGATCACCGAGAAGCAAGTTGATAGATTCGTATGAAAAAATATCATCACCCACTTTCAAATGCTAAGAATCCTCATAACAAACAATAGGACATAATTGAATAATACTTGGTTCAAGGAGTTTTATTAATCTTATAGGATTCAACTAAGGTTTAGCTTGGTGACTCATCCTTAAACGAACACTTTTGCCAAGGTCATCAACTAAGCCATTCTCGAGGGGTTAAAGAAATGAGTTATTGAGACTGAGTGA